CTCGGCGGCGGCTCGGCGGGAGCGAGGGCGGGAGCGGCCGAGACCATGGTGAGGGCAGCGACCGGCCGGGCGGCGGCGAGTGGCGCTACCTGTTGAGGCTGCGCGGTGCCGCCTTGCCCGCTGTGGCGCCGGCGTGGAGCGCGGGGAGAGGGCCCTGCGGCCGGCCTGCGTCCCGGGCGGGTGGGCGCTCCCCGTGTCCCCCGGCGCGGTGCCTCAGACCTGCGTCCCTCCACCAAGCCGCTAAAATTACGGGTTGGCCGCGGGATCTAAAAATAGCGGCGGCGGAGACTTGTCAGCTAGTTGTTGGGATGCTGACGTCGGGGCTCCGGGAGCAGGTGCCCTGCTGGAAGGAGACCCGGTGTCCGGCAGGGAGGGACCCCCGTCCGGCGCTCCCTCGTTCTCCGGGGCACGGACCCCAAGCCGATGCTCCCTCGGCCCCCGGGACGCGGACCACCGGCCGGGCCCCTTCCTCCCCGTGACGCGGACCCCCGACAGGTGTCCCTTATGCCCCCGGGACGCGGACCCCCGACATGTGCCCCCTCCCTTCCCGGGATGCGGACCCCGGCCGGTGACCCCTCCGCCCCCGGGATGCGGACCCGCGGCAGCTGCGGGGGGTGGACGTGCCCAATTCGGGGCCGAATCGTCCGCTGGCTTCTCGAGTGCGAGCTGACCCGGGCGGAGCGCCGGGCAACTTGGTGGCTGGCGTCCGGAAGGTGACCGCGGCCCCCACACCTGGCAGAGTCATGACGTCTGTTGTTCTTAAAACCGTGATTTCACGCCTGCCTCCTTAAAAAGCAAATCAGACAGTAAACAGGATGGATTGGACACAGGCTGAAGTTACCTATGAAGAGTCAATTCGGGCTTTTGCGGTTTGGTGGCTTTGGATTGGTAGCTAGTTCTTATTTCCTGATTCGGCCCTGGAGGCACGGTGATTGTGATTTTAGATTCCTGCGCCTGTTGAAAGGTTTTTACATTTTATTCCGGGACAGATAGAGCTGAAACAATTTCTGTACTTGAGGAAGAAGTGGGAATGTGTTATGTAAGCCAAATTCAGAAATCAAAAAATTCTACAAAAACCTTTTTATCGTATATCAGTGTGATCAGAAATTATTAAAACATACAAGGCATCCTGTAGAAACCTAGAGCTTCTCAGTCCCCTCTGTTAAACTTAAATCACTGTCTCCTGCTAAAGTGCTAAATGTGAAAAACATAGGAATTTGTTCTTAAACTTTTTTCCTGCTTCTAATACGTGCCAAGACCTGTATTTTTTTTTTTTTTTTTTTTAATGTCGTTCCGGGAAATAAACATTAAATCACCTGAGGCGTGCAGCTGGGGGGGGACTGTGTGCAGTTGATTTTTTTTTAGCTTAAAAATTTTAAGAAAAACATTATAAAGGGGATATGCCATTTCATTGCTTATCCTCTGCTTTGAAAATGTAGATCCTTGAGCAGCTTGCCTGTCTTGTAAACCAGTTTGTTGTTTTTTTTTTTAAACAGGGAAGCCATAATAGACTTAAATGGTAAAATTAAACAGTCCAAAGAAAACAGTAGTTTCTCTCTCAAGTCAGATTCTTGGTATTCCCCCGCCCCCCCGCCAGAGGCAAATAGCTTTTCTAACGTATTGTGTGTTCTTCTGGAAATCTGTGTGCACACATACTCTGCATAGAAGACCCCATGTTTATGTAAGGAAAAGCTCCCTGCACTGGTACATACTTTGCCTTTTCCACTTAAGAGTTTTGTGGGTGTTTATGACACATATCTTTGTCTCATTTGTTGAAATGGCTGCATAATATTTTCCTTTTTTTATGTGAAAGAATTTTTAATGTTTATTTTTTTAATTTTTTATTTTTTTTAACGTTTTATTTTTATTTTTGAGAGACAGTGTGTGTGGAGGAGGGGCAGAGAGAGAGGGAGACACAGAATCCAAAGCAGGCTCCAGGCTCTGAGCTGTCAGCACAGTGTCCAACGCGGGGCTTGAACCCACAAACCCCGAGATCATGACCTGAGCGGAAGTCAGACGCTTAAC